GACAAAGGCATGGACCAGGATTTCAGCGGCTTTTGGGGAGAGGTACTGGTGGAGACGGTGATGTGTCGGAGGAGGAAGAAAGCGGTGCTGGTGATGGACTAGATGTGGAGGAGGAAGGATTATTGGGGGTCAAAGCTGATGCGTATGTTGCGTATCAGTTCTGAGAGTTTTAGGGGGAGGTCGGGTAGGTGGAGGAGGTGAGAGCTGTGAGGTTTTAGATGTTGACGAGAGCCAAATGACTTGCAAATGCACAGAAACAGTATAACAGCGACATTCATCTCAGGAGGGCATCGCAAGTTGCTGGACAATCAGTTTTTGGACCGAAGCTGGTGGGGTTGGTAATGGTGGACGAGGAATGCAGTGTGGAAAGGATGGTGATCAAAGGCACAGTAACAGCAGAGCATTTTGAGATGGTCTTGGAGGAGACAAGGCATGTGGCGAGGCAGAGAGCCTACGGCATTTACTTCCAGTGGGTGGGATAGAGTGGCTGAAGGCAAACTTGGAAAATGTAGGGCGGGCGAGGCAGGCGACATGAGCAGGCTGGAGCCCAGATGTAACAGGTTAGTGGGGGATGAGGATGGCACAGAAGTAGTGGAGATCAAGGCCATGGAGAGCAGGATTTTGATCTGTATCCAATAGTTACAGTATCCTGTATCCTATAATGTGATGGGAAGGCAATGGAATCAGGCAAAGATGGGAGATGATAGGATCACAGAATCTGGTATGGGATAGGACACAGGCTGCAGCATTCGGGATGTTTCTCAGCCTACAGAGGGAGGCATTGTGGAGGCCAAGAAGAAGGGAGATTGCATCGTGAAAGGATGTTATGAATGCGAGTATGAGGTTTTCAGCAGCCTGCAGTTTGAGAGATTGGTGGAGCAGGTCAATATTGCGGAGGTCGGGGGTGGAGAACATGTCATGTCATGGATATAGGTCGGATAATACATTGGATACAGGAGGGTGTTTCCTGATGAACAACAAGATTCAACAACAACACGATTCCATTTATTGAGCGCCTATCAGGTCGGGAGGACGTCCCAAGGCACTGTACAGTTAGGTCAGGACTTGAGCAAGGGGGAAATGGTCAGGGTGAGGGAAGGGAGGGAGCGAGGAGGGGGTAGAGATTTGAGAGAGGAGCTGAAGGCACGGTCAACGTGAAAGGTCTTGAGACTGGCCTTGAAGGAGGAAAGGGAGGAAGCAAGGCGAAGGCACTGGGGGATAGAGTTCCAGAGCCTCGGGGCTGAGAGGCTGAAGGCCCGGCCACCGATAGTAGTGCGGTTGGGGCGGGGGATGTGGAGTAGACCGGAGCCAGATGAACGGAGGGTACGGGCAGGTAGGTAGGGGGATAGTAGGTTGGAGAGGTAGATGGGAGCAAGGCCGTGAATGGCCTTGTAGGTGAGGATCAGGATCTTGAAATCGATCCTCTGGGGGATGGGGAGCCAGTGGAGGCGAGTGAGGGTGGGAGTGATGTGTTCCCGAAGCCTGGTGCGGGACAGTACATGAGCTGCAGAGTTCTGAATGACCTGCAGCTTGTGGAGGGAGGGCCGGGAAGGCCGGCGAGGAGAGAGTTCCCATAGTCCAGCCTTGAGGTGATAAAGGCGTGGACCAGAGTTTCAGCCGCGTGAGGGGTGAGGTAATGCCATAGTCTGGCGACATTCCGGAGGTGATGGAAGGCGGTGCCAGTTGTATCGCGGATGTGAGGGAGAAAGGACACCTCAGTGTCGAACAGAACACCGAGGTTCCTGACTGGCACCTAAACCTTCAAACCTTCTTGATTTCAAGATTCTCATCCTCACCTACAAGGCCATTCACGGCCTTGCTCCCTCCTACCTCTCCAACCTACTATCCCCCTACCTACCTGCCCGTACCCTCCGTTCCTCTGGCTCTGGTCTGCTCCACGTCCCCCGCCCTAACCGCCCTACCATCGGTGGTCGGGCCTTCAGCCTCTCAGCCCCCAGGCTCTGGAACTCCATCCCCCAGTGCCTTCGCCTTGCTTCCTCCCTTTCCTCCTTCAAGGCCGGTCTCAAAACCTTTCTCTTTGACCGTGCCTTCAGCTCCCTCTCGACTCTCTTCCCCCTCCTCACTCCCTCCCTTCCCTCCCCTCACCCTGACCATTTCCCCCCTCCTCGCTCCCTCCCTTCCCTCCCCTCACCCTGACCATTTCCCCCCTGCTCGGGTCATGACCCAACTGTGCAGCGCCTTGGGACGTCCTCCTGACGTGAAAGGCGCTTTATAAATGGAATCTTGTTGTTGTTGTTGTTGACAGGGCCTTGAAGGTTTAGGTGGGAGGACAAGCGGTGGAGGAGGATAGCGTGGTCGACCGTATCGAATGCTGCCGACAGGTCGAGGAGGACGAGGAGGCAGAGGGAGCCCTGGTCATAGATGGTCAGGATGTCATTGGTGACCTTGACCAGGGCAGTTTCTGTGCTATGGGCAGCACGGAGACCCGACTGAAGGTGTTCGAATAGTGAATGGTTGGAGAGGAAAGCGCTCAGCTGGGAGGCGACAACTCGTTCCAGGACCTTGGATAGGAAGCGGAGGTAGGAGATGGGCCGGTAGCTTGATAGCTGCAACGCATCAAGGGAGGGTTTTTTAAGGTGGGAGTGATGGTGGCAGTTTTTAAGGGAATGGGAATAGAGCCAGAGGAGAGGGACAGGTTGACGATGAAGCACTGGATAAACTGTATATACTTTATTCCGAACAAGTATGGCAGCCAATTTGGGCACAGCAGAGACTCACAAACAAAAACAACAACAGGATAACGTCTATACAGTGCCTTTCATGTCGGGAGGACGCCCCAAGGCGGTGGATAGAGTGTAGCATATCATAACCGAGCTGGTGTCGTGAGGGGAAGGGAGTGGCTGGGGGAAGGGCGATGGCCGATTGCATGGTCGAAGAGCAGGGTCTTGAGGCGGGACGAGAAGGAGGCTTAGGATGTGGCGAGGCAGATTGACTGGGGGATGGAATTCCAGAGGTTCGGGGCAGAGTATCTGGACGCTCTCCTCCCAATTGTGGGACTGGTGGGTCGGGGGACGTGGAGGAGGCCAGAACCAACTGAAAACAAAACAAAAAAAGCTGAAAACAGCCATGAAGTGAATGATAATTTTTATTTACCGAATCACTGGCCAGAAGACCAGGAGAAGTTCTTTCCTCTTTTTGCAGTAATATGGGATCTTTACTGTCCACCATGAATAGGCAATCGGCATGGCGCTGACAACAACACAACTTATCCCCATCATTGCATTGCAGCATCACTCTCGACAGTAGGAAGTGAAAGGCCCAATGTGGGTCTTGAACCCACAATCTGCTGCATTACAGACGAGAATGCTGCCAACTGTGCAATGCTGTCATGTCACGCTAACAAATACAGAGGAGTGCTGGAATTCTTCATGTCAAAGATCGAATGTATCGCTTCACTTCATCCTCCTCCTTTGCATCTCCTTCCACATCCCCCGAACCATCTACTGCACCCCTCCTGCCACCACCGCCCCTTCAGGTCTTTATTACATTCAATGTTCCAATCTTTATTCAGCTAAATGTGCTGTACTGCTGAAGTATTTGCATATCAAATTTAATTGACATGGAAACACTTCAGCAGGATCGCACAGCTGCTGAAGTAATTCCTTATCAATGCCATCTGATTATTTCCAAGAAAATATTTTGATTAAGTTTAAAATTCTTGTTGTTAAAGTTTCATCGGTAACTCTTTGTAAATGTTCGTGTTAAAATGTGTGAGTGTGGCGTTTGTCATGGGTAAGAGTAACAATAAAATAAATCTGTCTTTGGCAATCAGCTGAGGCGTGGGACTGGCCACGATATTATTTCATTGACAGCCATTCTTTTGGGGCTTCTCCAGAAATTTAATGAATAGCGTTTTTACTAATGGATGTTTATTCTCACAAAATAGACTAATATTATGTAATTGGTATTTTTTGATTCTTCCTTCGACAAAGAAAAAGGAAGAATTGTAAAGTATGGATTGGTATCGACCAAACATACCTACATATGTATTAGATGGGATTAATCAAGTGGAACTTGGAGAAGAAGCCCAGGCTTCCGAGTTCCAATTAAGTAATCCAATTTTTAACATTATATTGAATAATGATCTTCATAATTACACGTATAATTTTTAACAATGTAGTAGATTGTATTAAAAGGGGAAGAGATAAATGCGACACAAATGCAACTTTGATCGTTGATACAGCGACACCTACTGATGTTAATCAATCAGACAAGACGTTGTCAGGCGGAGGTTGGAAGCAAACATTTCTAAACAGCAGATTTACGGGACAAAATCCACCAGTTTGTAAATAATATTTAAAATTGGGCAGATTTGCGGAAATGTTTCCATTTCAACCTGAATTCGGAAGGTTTATTTGAACAAATACAAAAGAGCGATTTACAAATTAATACCCAATTCAAGGTCCCCCCCTCCTCCCTCCGAGTCCAGACAATATTACAGTTTAAGATCAAACCATCTTACAGGCTGAGACGAGGTGGGATTTTGAACCTTCGAAGCCCCGGAGAGCGCAACACAGAATGACTCCGACTGTTGGGGAATGTTCTGCTCCTGTGCCATTGTTGCTATGATTGACAACTACTGTAATATTTCCTCCGGTAAGACAACATGTGTCAACCAAATCCATAAAATGTCGCTATTTTATATTAAAACATGTACAATGAATAATACAAATCAGATTAAAATCTCATGATTTGATGAATTGAAAAGGAAATCTGGGAGAAAATGAGCGACTCACAGAGGCCAATGCAGAGACAGTTTATTATTGATCGATATTTCTGTAATACGACACAAGGAGAACACATATAATTCTATCTAAAGTTTCCAGCAAACCGTACAAACTGTGTATGGATTGTTATCTCTTTGCGAAATTTATAGCAAAATGAACATAATCGACAACATATTACAAAACACAATTATTATTATTAAAGGTAGATTGACAATAGTACATTCGATTATCGGTGCACATTCCTGGTTTAGGTACAACTGGATCTGGCGATGCTTTTTTCGAGCGGAGTGGCCAGAGTCTGGTGTTTGACCACACAGGAATACAGGTCGTGTGACTCCCACTCGGAGGTTGGCAGAGTCAGATAACTGCTCACACTGTACGTGTTGTCCGCCTGCTGTTTGATCGCACTCGTTTCAACACCTTGACTTCTGGCACTGCCATCCACAGTCCACTCGACCTCCACAGCTCCCGGGATAAAATCATTCACCAGACACACCAGGGTCGCCTTGCTCTTTGCTGTGATTTGATCTGGTGAAGGCGGAAGGACAGTCACCGAAGGGCCCTGTGGTTCTGGAAGGAAAAGATTTTGTACTCAGATAATGTCCATTATTTGATAAGACGAAGGAAAGTTGAAAACTAAATATCAAATCTTTGTATCAAATACTGCAACGTGTTCTTGGTCTGTTGATAATGATCTTGAACAGTGACAATGTCCGCCTATAAATATAATTAATCTGTGTGAAGCGGTTATTGTTGTTGAGGGTTGCTCACCAAACACTCTGCAGCTTATTATACTATCTCCAGATTATCACGTTCCCATTTATGAAATGAAAGACTGCAATCACCAGAAACGACGACATACACTAAAACCATGTCACAGTGAATACTGACGGGAGCAGCTGATTGACAGCGCAGTAAAGCTTTCGATTTATTATCTCTGTCAAAGCTCTTTCACACGATAGAAAGTTTCGCCCACAAAATGCAGTCAATTCGCTTCACGGTATATTATGTGAAGCGCTTTGAAACGTCTCGAAGACGTGAAAAGCACTATATCAAATTCAAGGATTAAATTCAAAGATAATTAAATGTTTGCAACTCAACGCTCCATTCCGATGAATTCTCTCTAAAAGTCCATCTGTCGTCCCTATTTCCAACACTGCCCAATTCTGGGAAGATGTGTGTGAACATTTGAGTACGTTTTGGAGTTTGAATAATCGCTATACAATGGCTGGGCACAAACTATACTTTCTCTGATGCCCTTTCCTGAGTCGAGAGGGAACGGGATTCAAGATTGACGATTGTGCAGAAAAGCAATGACGGATTTCAACAAACTGGAAGATGGTCCAGAATACAAACAACAATTCACACTTGTACAGAGCCTTTCACCTTGACCACTTACAACCAGATGATCATCATAATAATAATCCTTGCATTGCTTATAGCACCTTACCACATCTTCGAGACGCCTCAAAGCATTTCACAGAAGATACTGTGAAATGAATTGACTGTATATTTGGCGAAAGAACACGAAAAGCATCAGAATCCGAAACTGGTTTGTGTACAATCTCCTGGTTCAAAACATAACGAAATAAAACGAGCTATTTATAAATAAAAGCAGAACATTGACGATAACGAATCGGTTCCAATCGGTTACCTTCTGAATTACAGCTGATCGGGATTATTGTGAACCCATAATTTTTGTATTGCCCACTCCATAAAAACAATCAGTCTTTCGACGAAAAAGTTTTAGAGACACGAGCGGCAGTTATTGAAAACGAGGAAATCCGGGAAAAAGGAAAGGGGTTCTCTTTGCTCAAATGCTGTATGAAGGAAAAGTCAAAACATTAAGCATTTGAGCAGCAAAATAAAGCAAAGATTCAGCAGCTGAAAAGAATGAATGCCAATTTCACAAAGTTTCATAGGGCGCTTGAAGTATATTCCATTGCGTTTATAAAAAAATATCATTGCACGGTAGACAGGAAATAATCAAGTTACATTTCCACAATTCAGATAACATTTTTCTTTCATTTCTGCTTTGACCAGATTGAGCCGCCGCTCAACAGTCTGTGCCTTCACTCAGCGCCGATTCACATCTGAACAATTACAGCAACTTGTGGGGAAACACTTGTGACATTACTGAGTCTCTGCTGCTGATTACAGTGGTGCTCCCCTCAGCGACATCAAACACCGAATCGGGAGAAAATAAAACATGTTAAACAATCAAATATCCAAATACAACTCTGCGGAAAGAAGATATTAGATATACCGACTAATGGGAAGAATAGCACAGTTATTCACTGCACAAGTCTAATTTGTACCAAAATTCCCATTCACTTCCTGAGCCGATTATAACGTTGGAATTGTTCTGAAATAATGCATTAGTTGCTAATATGAAATACTGGTCAGAGAAACCTTTCTCAGAGTAATTACCGGTCATCTGGGTAATAGTTGAAGGGTGTTACTCGGAGTTTTGGAAGTTTAATTTCTTCAACTATTCAATTAGTTACGTACGAGAAACATATCTACGATACCCTTTTACCTCTGCGATTCAACTGCTAAACCATCGGTTCAGCTGCCCTATGGAAAGCTGCTGGTTATCTTCTTATGCTGGAGATTCACACCCGTGGGTGGGTTGGCGGGGATTGGAAGTAATCATATCAATGATTACAATAAAATGAATAAAACTGGTACCAGGAAGTTGGTTGTCCAATGCAAATCAAAATAATTATTGGAAAGTAGAAACAACGACAACATTTAGCGACCCAGAGCGCTTGAACCGACCACGTGCAAAGTGTAGAATGCCGAAGATCACTTACTTTTCAAACTCAGTTCACTCCCTTTACCGAAAAAGAAGTGATACGGACTGCTCTTATGCCCGGCACCACAGGAGTAATCGGCGGCGTCCTCAGCTTGCACACCGCTGATGGTTAAATGCACGGCGTTGTTCCCTGAGTCCGCAGAACCAGAGAATCGATCAGGAATCCCCTGAGGTTTGCCGTTGTAACTTGACCAGAGAAGCACAGGGGCGCCGTCAAGCTTCTGCTGGTACCAGCTGGTGTGGTAGCTGCCGATGCTGCCTCCGGACATGGTACAGGTGATCTTGACGGTGTTTCCCGGGGAGGATGAGATGGACGATGGCTGAGTCAGGGTAACAGCTGCGGTTGTGCCTGGAGAAACAACAAGTCAATATGTACATTGTAAAACCGTACAAATTGAATGTAACTCAGATCAGTGCGGATTCCATAGCGCTTACCATGTAAACACAGGAGCAAAGCGGACAGGACTCGGAGCCAATCGCCCATCGTGAATAGTTTGATGAAGATCAGAGAGATGAGGGATTTTCCAGACCAAAGCCACTTTACTGCTTGTTTCTCAGCTTCTCCTTAAGAACCATCAGGTGATGTAAGTCCAATTGAATTAATGAACTATGCAAATCACCATCCGGGTTGCACCGCCCAATCGGAGTCCTTGTTCTGAACTGGAGATTCAAGATCATGCAGATTTCAGACATTTTACCGCCGATACTTCAAAAGATATTTCATGATAATATTGCATAATATTTCTCTGTGAAGGGCTTGAACAAGCTTTCTTATTTTCAGTAATGAAAGAGGTCAGTTGATTTAAAATGAACATAGTACAAAATAATTCTCAATTATTTACAGAATCTTGGAAGCTCTTATTCCATTAATTATAAATATATGTCGTGGTTTCGTAGCGTATGAACCCTGCAAGATTTTGCCCTGGTTCACGTGGAATTACACTGTTGTGGAGCTTTTTCCGGCTTTGGATAATTTTGTTGGTGAGGAATCTTCATCGCTTTATGCAGTTACAGTTTTCTCACTGTGAGACACAGATCTGAGCATGAGGCCGTATTTCATCTCAATGTTAAAGCTTTTATATCGTTGAACTATACACATGGTATACTATCACATTACATATATAGAATTTACATTGTGTTTGATATAGATTGTCTAAGTCACCTTCCCGTAGGTACCAGACCCTTCTTCCCTCATAATCAGATTCACTTTGCTACACTATGCCTCGCTCCAGATGTGATGATCTGTTCAATAGCAGATCTGGAGTTGCATTCCCACTTCGCGATGCTTAAAAAAGAAAGTTTCTCTCTGAACGTTATAAACAGGGAAGCGAGACGGATCTTTGTTGACCCGCTGTACGGGAGGACGGCTAAAAGGATAACCAGAGGTAGTTGTGATGTTACCAATGCAGTTTTGCGCGGTTTGCAGCTTCAAAGTGAGGAGTGGTCAAGCTGGACCAACAATGTGTATACCAGCTAGAAAATGCCCTCAATGACAAATGATATGTTTTAGCTGTTTGAACTCCAGCAGCGTCTCAAATGATAATATGGTGTCCCCAAGGTTGGCTATATTCAATCTACCCCTAAATCATTGCAGAATATGGTCAGGGAATATGGTAAGTGTCAGGACAAAGGGATCATTCAATTTCTTTCCCCGGAAAATTGATATGATAGTAATAATCCTTGCCTTTGATATAACGCGTTATCATGTGTTTGAGATGTATCAAAGGCTTCATAGAATGTACTTTGAAGTGAATCAACTATATATTTTATGGCAAAACACAGCAGTCAATTCCTCACAGCAGTGTGTGTCTCTCATGCATTGAGTGGCGAATTTTTTTTTCGTTTTCTTTTCAAGCAATTCAGGAAACAAGTCGAAGTGGAACAAATGGATAGATTAAACCTGATCATTTTTGAAGAGGATCAAAAGCAACTGTGATTTGTTATAAACCGCCGCACTCCCATTCCGCTTCCACAACAAACACAAGAGCTAACTCCACAAATTGAGTTTCAGCTTTTAGACACTCTGGGAAGGAAAGGATACGGTTGAGCAGATTTTGTAAACGAGTCGGTAGAAGTGTTGCTTCCTTACGCATATTTTCCTAATAATTACACAATGAATAATTAGTGAATCAGACAAAATATTGGGTGGAGGCTCTTACATTCTGTTCTATTATTGTTTGTTAAATTTTTAACTAAATTGGTAATTTCCAATTTAATTTTAGAAAATACCAGACACTAATGTTCTCTTCCTGTCAGGTTGCTGTGTTTCGCCCACAATATATACGATCAGTTCACTTTACAGTGTATCTCATGAAGCGACTTGAGATTTCTTGTCCACGTGATAAGGTGATATTTCGAATGCAAGGAATATTTTTATTAATATTCGGCACTAATATTCTCTTCTTGTCTTGTAAAGAAGCTGATAGGTATGGTTAAAACAAACAAAATGCAAAATACTGCAGGAGCTGGAAATCAGAAACAAAAAACACAGGTGGCTGGGAACACTGCAGATCGGCAGCATCTGGAGATAGGAAAGTGTGTCAAAAGTAACTTATTTTCCTTTTTTGCATTTCATATCAGAGGGTCGTTTCGTGATGCTGTATTGTATAGGCAAATGATTGCTGCCTGAGCTGCTGAATGTACCCAACGACTTCTGTTTTTGTTCGTAATGAAGGTTACCTTCACCATGTTTGAATAAACCACAATAAATTGTGATGCCTTTGCTTATGTTATATTCTGTCAAGATATCATAGAACACGATGTGCAAGAATTATCTCTTCTGATATTATTGGACATTTTCTAATAAAACATTAACAACTGTAAATCTGCATTCCCTTCCAGGAAACAGATGTGATGGTATCAACACAAAAACTGAATATCGCTGATCTTGACATCTTCCTGACAAGTACAGTGTGATGTGATATGGAACAGGAAATGCATACGCAGATTTACGTTACTCAACCTGCTGAAGGAAGCCCAGGGCTCAAGAGCACGTTTGCACCATCAGTCGGATATGCCAGCATTTAATTCTGCGTATGTGCCGGTCCAGTGCCACAACTGTGACACATCAACTCAAATGACTTGCACATGAGCAGCAACATAGAGAAGCCTTCATTTTAAAATAATTACAGTACTCCTACAATACATGTATGTTCATATTCTAAAATAAATGTATAATAATACATTGGACAGAGCAAATTTCATATCAGTGGGTCGTTTCGTGATGCTGTATTGTATATTTTTTCGAGGCAAATGTGGCAGCCAATTTAAGCACAGCAAAGTCTCACAAAACAGCCATGAAGTCAAGGAAATTTTTGTTCCGGGAATTGTTTGTCAGGAAAGTAGGATACGATGTCTTTTCTGCAGAGTAACCAAGGATGTTAAGTATCCACCAGGAACAGGAAAACGGGATTGATCCTCCAACAATGCAAAACATCCCCATCGCTGTATTGGCATGTCAAACAAGACAACATGAATTTAAAGGCCTACAATCTTCTACATTGGAGGTCAGAGTACCTCCATCTGCAGCCATTCGGTCACATGTGAGATTTTATCTGAAAAACAACTCGTGTCCTACCCAGTTTTTTCTACAATTTTCATTTGATTATTGAGCGATTGGATCAAACTTTCCACACATTCACAGGACACAGCCTGGTTCCAGCACCACTGAACCAGCAAATCGGCACGTCAGGCATTCAGTGAATCAGCATCAATGGATGCGCACTACACCTCAACAACAACAACAACAAGATTCCATTTATAGAGCGCCTTCCACGTCGGGAGGACGTCCTAAGGCGCTGTACATTTGGGTCAGGACCCGAGCTGGGGTGAAATTGTCAGGGTGAGGGGAGGGAAGGGAGGGAGCGAGGAGGAGGTAGAGTCGAGAGGGGAGCTGAAGGCACGGTCAAAGAGAAACGTCTTGAGACCGGCCTTGAAGGAGGAAAGGGAGGAAGCAAGGTGAAGGCAATGGGGAATAGAGTTCCAGAGACAGGAAGCTGGATGTCTTGATCGATCTTAAACAGTCCTTTCTTCCCCACTTTCATGCCATGACCCACTCTGCCTTGTCCCACCTTCACAACATTGCACGACTCCACCATTGCCTCATACTTCAGGCCGCTGAAATCGTCATACATGCCTTCATTACAATCAAGTTCAACCATGAAAACATCCTGCTTATCGGCCTTCCCAACTCTTCCTTCCACAAATTGCAGATCACCCAGATTTCTGCAATTCGTAACCTTTCTCACACTAAGCTCCGTGACCAATCAGAGCCACCCTTGCCAGCTCAACTGGCTTCCCATCCCTGGAGTATCAAGTTAAAAATTCTCGTCCTCACCTTCAAGGCCTTGTCCCCTCCTACCTCACTTATCTGCTATCAGCTTATCAACTGTCCGCTCTCTCCTCACAGCAGACACTGGGCTGCTCCACGTCCCCCGCCCAGCCAGCTCCAACATCAGTGGTCAGGCCTACTGCATGTCTGCTCACACACTCTGGACCTCCATCCTACATTCCTTTCGCCTCGATTCCTCACTTGCCACCTTCAACACATGCCTCAAGACCCTCCACTTGGTCTCTGCCTTCTTACACTCTCTTACCCTCTCTATCTTCCCTGTTCCCCAACCCTCCACCACACTCGGGTCCTCATCCCTGATTGTCCTGTGCCTGGATACCTCCTCCCGACATGAAGGGTGCTTTACAAGCGTAATTTTGTGTTGTATAGAAATAAGTCATTGTCATCACAGATGGATCCAATTTGGCCCACCCTCTCTGTATCACCGCGACACTGTTGTTTTGTTAAATTAGTTTCTTTTTAAAAATAATCTACATACTCCAGCTCTTTCTTTGTATTCCTCTATGCTTTCACTTACCTCTTCAGTGATTCAGCCTCAATGTCCACTTGTGGTCATGAATTGAACATTCTAATAACATTTGTTTAAATTATATATACAATAAACGTATTTGCAACAACCATTCTGAGACATCAACTCTCCGTTTATTTTGGTTATCTGCGTACCTCATACATGAAGCAAAGTATCCGAATGCTAAAGTACACCCAAACAAAACTGAGACAACTATACATGGAATACCACCTATATATGGAAATGTTCCTCTTCCTGGAACGGAATGTGCAATCTCTCCAGAGTGACATATCCTGCTTATATAATTCCAGAAAGTATGACATGAAGGTTGGCAGGAATCAAATCTTGATGACCAAATCTCGACTCTCTCTCCATTGAGTTTCGTCCACAAAATATCCAGTCAATTCACTCAACAGTGTATTCTCTGAAGAGCTTTGCGACATCCAGAAGACATGCGCTGTATTAAATGCCAGGATTTTCTATTAATAGTGATCACAAACCTCAATTATTTACAGAACCATAGAAAGGTCTTATTCCATTCATTATTAATATTTGTCATTGCTTTGCAGTATATGAATCCTGCAACATCTCTTGTCCAGTTTCACAAGGATCTACACGGCTGTGGAGCTTGTTGAAATGTTGGATAATCATCGGTAAGAATGTTACATTACATGCTGTAACAGTTTGCAGATTGATCTGCTACAGACCTACACAGCAAGTTACACTTTACAAGAGGTGCCAGGGATCCTCAAATTATACATAAAGTTTGTAGATTTTTGACAAATAAACTGTCCAAGTCGCCTTCTCACAGGTTCCAGTACCTACCATCTCCTCACACGAGGATACTTTTGACTCCACTATGCCTTACTGCAGATGTGATCTGTACAGCAACATGAACCTATCAGCCCCATCCTCGCCCGGCTCCATTTACTCGTCAGAGTGAAAAATCCTCATCCTGGCATTCAAAGCCCTCTTGCGGTTTGCTCCTCGCTACATCTGTTTCCTGCTACATCCACAGATACTGGTCCGCAACTTCCACTCAGCGGACTCCGATATGCTCCATGTCTCCCTGGTGACCCACAACATTATCAAACATCAGGCCTTCAGTTTCTCTGACCCATCCTTTGGAATTCCACCACACAGTCCCTCCCTTCCCTCCTTCAAGGCACCTCTCAGAATCTTTCTCTTAAAAGCCCCTTTTGTCAATCTCCTCTCCCATCACTCACTGCTTCCTCCTCTACTGATCACAGTCTGCTCTTCTGGCCCAAATCCGTGAGTGGCCTACACCTAGAACATCCTCCGTAGATGAAACGTGTTATTCAAATGTTACTTCTTTTTGTTAGATCCAGAATACGAGCTCGAATCTCACTTGCTGATGATAAAAGAATTCCAGAAACATTATAAAAGGTGAAAAGCTCAATTGGTCTTCAAGCAGGGAGGAGAACAACTCACTTACAGGTAGATGCATGTGACACACTATTGATGTAGTGCTTGTACTGTTTGTAGCATGGAATGGCAATGCCACAAATGATTCATGCCCTAGTTAATTTGTCATTTCTTGTTGTGATATACCGATCCCGAGGATCCAAAATAAGTGACTCAACAATCCTTAATAAAGGTATAATGGTTTATTATTCACAAACAGTTTATGAGTATATAGCAAAAGAGGTAAATAGTCATTCTTCCAGTTCTATGTAGTCTGTAGGCTGATTTCAGTCTTTCGTGTCTGCTCCTCAGGCTCAATCTTTTGCTATACTCACATTCTCTCTTTCTCTCTGGCTCTGCTTCCACACACATCTCTGTCCGGTGGCACCCAATTATACTAACTTCCCATCTTACCTTTGCTTCGCACAGATAAGTTGATGGCCTTTTGAATTTTGGTCTTCCTTTGTCCTGTCTAACCTGATCAAAGAGGTTTCTCTGGAATAGAGACAGGCTTCATCGTATCTGAGTACCAACCTTGAGCGTGTGGCCAGCTTACAAGAAAAAGCTTTCAGACACACATCCCATTGTCCTGATACCAGGCTCATGGTGTTCCCCCTATTTCCAGGTGGCACTTACCTCGTACGTCAGGACTAAAGTTTGAGCCAGCTTCTCACAATGCCTGAAACCAACAGCCACAGTATTCTTTTAACATTTTAAAGTACTGTCTTATGGTTGCTATAAGGTGTTATACTTTCTACAATATTCTACTCAATCTAACATTTCTCCCACCAAATATTTTGTGAATCGGTTCAATATCATCACAGGAATACAGTCGGTGATCCGATCTCATCCTTCTCCTGCCTCTTACTTTGTCTTTTGTTTCTTTCAACCAAAGTATTGGGTATAGCCTGCAATATGTGGAAAGGTTTACAATTTGTTAAATGTTTCTCTTCTAATCTCGGTTGATTCCCTGATTCCCTTTTACCCTATAATACTGGACTTTATCTGATAAAACACTAACAGCTCTAAATCTATGTTTCCTTCCAGAGAACGGAGATGCAATGTCATCCAGAAGCAAACACTCAATTCCAATCTTGTGGACCTTTCCCTAAAAGCTACAATGTAATGTGATATGGAACGGAAAATGTAAAAGCAGATTTTTGTTACTCAACCAATGCCACAGTTACTCATCCAATGCCACAATTCTAATTCAAGTGACTTGCAAATGCGTACAAGCAGAGGAGCTTCCATTTTAAAATATAACTACAGTACTCCTACATTATGTGTACGATAAGAACATAAGAATCAGGAGAAGGAGCAGGCCATTCGGCCCCTCGAGCCTGCCCTGCCATTCGATAAGATCATGGCTGATCTTCAGACCTCACTCTAATTACCTGCCCTATCCCCATATCCCATAATCCCTCTATTTTTTAAAAATCTATCAGTCTCAGCCTTGAAGATGTTCAAGGACTGAGCATCTACAGCCTTTATGGTAGTGAATTCCATAAATTCACTACTCTCTGAGTGAAGAAATGTTTCTTCAACTCTGTTCTAAAAGGCTGACCCATAATTTTAAGACTGTGACCCCTGGTTATAGATTCTCCTACCAGGGGAAACAGACCCTCAGTGTTTACTTCATCCAGCCCTTTAAGAATCTTATATGTTTCAATAAGATCTGCCCTAATTCTTCTGTACTCTAGAGAATATAGCCCTAGTTTATGCAACCTACCCTCAATGGTCAGTCACCTCATCCCAGGAACTAACCTAGTGATTCTACGCTGCACCCCCTCTAGGGCAAGTATGTCCTTCTTTTAAATAAGGAGACCAAAACTGCACACAATACTCTAGTTGCGGTCTCACCAAGCTGAAGGCCCACTCGAAAATGCTAGGCAGCGGACATGAAGCAGGCAGGAGCCCAGAAATTGACAGATTGGTAGGGGGTTAGGAAGCTGCAGAGGTAGGGGGGAAGAAGGCCATTGAGAGCAATGAAGGCAGTGACCAGGATCTTGAAATGTGTCCTCTGTGCGATGGGACGCCAATGGAATCAGGCGAGGATGGGAGGTCATAGGATCAGAGAGTCTGGTGCGGGATAGGACACAGGCTGCAGCATGTTCTTCAACCTACAGAGGGAGGAGTTGTGGAGACCAAGAAGCAGGGATTTTGCACAGTGAAAGGATGCTATGAACCTATGTATGAGAGTTTCAGTTACCTGCGGTTTGATGGAACCGGGCAATGTTGCGGAGGTGGGGGAAGGCAGAGCGGGTCATAGCATGGATATGGATTGAATAATATATTGGATATAGGAGGCCGTTTCCTGATGATGCACTGCATTTACTGTATACAGTTTATTCCAAACAAATAGGCAGCCAATTCGGGCACAGCAGAGTCTCACAGCCATGAAGTGAATCTGCTACATAACAGACTAGAATGCTGCCAACTGTGCAATGCTGACTTGTCACATTGAGAAGTACGAAGAAGTGCGAGAATGCTTCATGTCAAAGATCAAAAATATTGTTTCAGTGCATCGCCCTCCCTTCCATCCCCTTCTGTATCCCCCATACCATCCATTCCACCTTTCCTGCCATCAAGGCCCCTTCTGTTCTTTCTTACATTCAATGTTCAGATCTTTATTAAGCTTAGTGTGCTATTCTGCTGAATTATTTGCATATCAAAGCTTAATTGACATGGAAATAATTCAGCAGAATGGCCCAGCTGCAAAAATATTTTCTTATCAATTCCAAGTGATTATTTCCAAGTAAATGTACTGATTAAGATTAAAATTCTTGTTGATAATGTTTCATTGGTATCTGTTGGTAAATGTAATTGTTAAAATGTGTGAGTGTGGCCTTTGTAATGGGTTAGAGTAACAATAAAATATCTGTTTTTGGCAATCAGCCAAGGCGTGGGATTGGCCAAAATGGTATTTCATTGAGAGGCATTCATTTGGGGCTTCTCTCGAAATTTAATTAATAGCATTTTTCTAGTGGGTGTGTGTTCTCACAAATTAGACTAATAGTATGTAATTGGCATATTTTGATTTTTCCTTTGTCAAAGTTAAAGGAAGAACTCTAAAATATGGATTGGTATCGACCAAATATACCTACAGATGTATTAGATGGGATTAATCAAGTGGAACATGGAGAAGAAGCCCAGGCTTCCGAGTTCGACTTTAATAATCTACTCTTTAACATCATATTGAATAAAGAACTTGATAATTACATGTATAATGTTTCACAATGTTGTAGTTTGTATTAAAAGGGGAAGAGATAAATGCGACACAAATACAACTTTGATGCGTTGAGACAGCGACACCTACTGATGTTAATCAATCAGACAAGACGTTGTCAGGCGGAGGTTGGAAGCAAACGTTTCTAAACAGCAGATTTACGGGACAAAATCCACCAGTTTCTCAATAATATTTAAAATTGCGCAGATTTGCTGAAATGCTTCCATTTCAAACTGAATTTGGAAGGTTTTTTTTAAGAACTACAAAAGAGCGATTTACAAATTAATACCCAATTCAAGATCCCCCCCTCCTCCCTCCGAGTCCAGACAATATTACAGTTTAAGATCAAACCATCTTACAGGCTGAGACGAGGTGGGATTTTGAACCTTCGAAGCCCCGGAGAGCACAACACAGAATGACTCCGACTGTTGGGGAATGTTCTGCTCCTGTGCCATTGTTGCTATGATTGACAACTACTCTAATATTTCCTCCAGTAAGACAACATGTATCAACTAAATCCATAAAATGTCGCTATTTTAAGAAATAAATGAGAAAATGAGCGACTCACAGAGGCCAATGCAGAGACAGTTTATTATTGATCGATATTTCTGTAATACGACACAAGGAGAACACATATAATTGTATCTAAAGTTTCCAGCAAACCGTACAAACTGTGTATGGATTGTTATCTCTTTGCGAAATTTATAGCAAAATGAACATAATCGACAACATATGACAAAACAAAATTATTATTATTAAAGGTAGATGGACAACAGTACATTCGATTATCGGTGCACATTCCTGGTTTAGGTACAACTGGATCTGGCGATGCTTTTCTCGAGCGGAGTGGCCAGAGTCTGGTGTTTGACCACACAGGAATACAGGTCGTGTGACTCCCACTCGGAGGTTGGCAGAGTCAGATAACTGCTCACACTGTACGTGTTGTCCGCCTGCTGTTTGATCGCACTCGTTTCAACACCTTGACTTCTGGCACTGCCATCCACAGTCCACTCGACCTCCACAGCTCCCGGGATAAAATCATTCACCAGACACACCAGGGTCGCCTTGCTCTTTGCTGTGATTTGATCTGGTGAAGGCGGAAGGACAGTCACCGAAGGGCCCTGTGGCTCTGGAAGGAAAAGATTTTGTACTTAGATAATGTCCATTATTTCATAAGACGAAGGAAAGTTGAAAACTAAATATCAAATCTTTGTATCAAATACTGCAACGTGTTCTTGGTCTGTTGATAATGATCTTGAACAGTGATATTGTCCGTCTATAAAGATATTAAATCAGTGTGAAGCGATTATTGTTGTTAAGGGTTGCTCACCAAACGCTCTGTAGTTTATTATACTATCTCCAGATTATCACGTTCCCATTTACGAAATGAAAGACTGCAATCACCAGAAACGACAACAGACACTAAAACCAGGTCACAGTGAATACTGCCGGAGCAGCTGATTGACAGCGCAGTAAAACTTTCGGATTATTAATGATATCTCTGTCAAAGCTCATTCACACGATAGAAAATTTCTCCCACCAACATGCAGTCAATTTACTTCACGGTATAGTCTGTGAAGCGCTTTGAGACGTCTCGAAGACGTGAAAAGCGTTATGCCAAATTCAAGGCTTCATTCCGATGAATTCTCTCCAAACATCCAACTGTCGCCTCTATTTCCAACACTGCCCAATTCTGGGAAGAAATGTGTGAACGTTTGAGTAGTTTTTGGAGATTGAATAATCGCTATACAATGACTGGGCACAAACTATACTTTCTCGGATGTCCTTTCCTGAGTCGAGGTGGAACGGGATTCAAGATTGACGGTTGAGCGGATAAACAATGACGGATTTCAACAAACTGGAAGATGGTCCAGAATACAAATAACAATTCACACTTGTACAGAGCCTTTCACCTTGACCACTTACAACCAGATGATCATCATAATAATAATCATTGCATTGCTTATAGCACCTTACCACATCTTCGAGACGTCTCAAAGCATTTCACAGAAGATACTGTGAAGTGAATTGACTGTACATTTTGCGAAAGAACACGAAAAGCATCAGAATCCGAAACTAGTTTGTGTACAATCTCCTGGTTCAAAACATAACGAAATGAAACGAGCTATTTATAAATAAAAGCAGAACATTGACAGTTATAAGGATAACGAATCGGTTCCAATAGGTAGCCTTCGGTATTACAGCTGATCGGGATTATTGTAAACCTATAACTTTTCATTGCACGCCCTATACAAACAATCAGTCTTTCGACAAAAAAGTTTTAGAGACACGAACGGCAGTTATTGAAAACCTGGAAATCCGGGGGGAAAAGGAAAGGGGTTCGTTTTGCTCAAATGCTGTATGAAGGAAAAGTCAAAACATTAAGCATTTCAACAGCAAAATAAAGGAAAGATTCAGCAGCTGGAAAGAATGAATGCCAATTTCACAAAGTTTCATAGGGCGCTTGAAGTATATTGCATTGCATTTATAATAAATATGACTGCGCGGTAGACAGGAAATAATCAAGTTACATTTCCATAATTTAGATAACATTTTTCTTTCATTTCTGCTTTGACCAGATTGAGCCGCCGCTCAACAGTCTGTGCCTTCACTCAGCGCCGGTTCACATCTGAACAATTACAGCAACTTGTGGGGAAACACTTGTGACATTACTGAGTCTCTGCTGCTGATTACAGTGGTGCTCCCCTCAGCGACATCAAACACCGAATCGGGAGAAAATAAAACATGTTAAACAATCAAATATCCGAATACAACTCCGCCGAAAGAAGATAATAGATATATCGACTAATGGGAAGAATAACTCAGAGGTTCTTTGCACAAGTCTAATTTCTGTCAAAATTCGCATTAATTCACTGAGCCGATCATAACATTGGAATTGTTCTCAAATAATGGATTAGTTGCTTATGTGAAATACTGGTCAGAGAAACCTTTCTCAGAGTAATTCCCGGTCATCTGGGTAATAGTTGAAGACTGTTACTGGTTCTCTTGGATGTTTAACGTCTTGAAATATTCAAGTAGTTACGAACGAGAAACATTTCTACGATGTTTTTTCATCTGAGATTGAACTCCTCACCAATCGGTTCAGCAATCCTTTGGAAAGCTGTTGGTTACCTTTTTGTGTTGGAGATTCAAACCCGTGGGTGGGTTGGCGGTGATTGGAAGTAATCATATCAATGATAACAATAAAATGAATAAATCTGGTACCAGGAATTTGGTTGTCTAATGCAAATCAAAATAATTATTGGAAAGTCGAAACAACAACAATATTTAGCTTGAACCCACCACGTGCAAAGTGTAGAATGCCAAAGATCACTTACTTTTCAAACTCAGTTCACTCCCTTTACCGAAAAAGAAGTGATACGGACTGCTCTTATCCTGGGCACCACAGGAGTAATCGGCGGCGTCCTCAGCTTGCACACCGCTGATGGTTAAATGCACGGCGTTGTTCCCTGAGTCCGCAGAACCAGAGAATCGATCAGGAATCCCCTGAGGTTTGCCGCTGTAACTTGACCAGAGAAGCACAGGGGCGCCGTCAAGCTTCTGCTGGTACCAGCTGGTGTGGTAGCTGCCGATGCTGCCTCCGGACATGGTACAGGTGATCTTGACGGTGTTTCCCGGGGAGGATGAGATGGACGATGGCTGAGTCAGGGTAACAGCTGCGGTTGTGCCTGGAGAAACAACAAGTCAATATGTACATTGTAAAACCGTACAAATTGAATGTAACTCAGATCAGTGCGGATTCCTTAGCGCTTACCATGTAAACACAGGAGCAAAGCGGACAGGACTCGGAGCCAATCGCCCATCGTGAATAGTTTGATGAAGATCAGAGAGATGAGGGATTTTCCAGACCAAAGCCACTTTACTGCTTGTTTCTCAGCTTCTCCTTAAGAACCATCAGGTGATGTAAGTCCAATTGAATTAATGAACTATGCAAATCACCATCCGGGTTGCACCGCCCAATCGGAGTCCTTGTTCTGAACTGGAGATTCAAGATCATGCAGATTCGAGACATTTTACCGCCGATACTTCTAAAGATATTTCATGATAATATTGCATAATATTTCTCTGTGAAGGCCTTGAACAAGCTTTCTTATTTTCAGTATGAAACAGATTAGTTGATTTAAAATGAAGATAGAATAAAATAATTCTCAATTATTTACAGAATATTGGAAAAGTCTTATTCCATTAAATACAAATTTATGTCTTGGTTTTGAACTACATTGTTGTGGAGCTTGTTCCCATGTTGGATAATTTGTTGGTGAGAAATTGTCATCGTTTTATACAGTTACAGTTTGCACGCTGTGAGATACAGACCTGAACAGGAGGCTATGTTTCATCTCAATGGTAAAGCTTTTATTTCTTTGAACTATATAGCGGGTATATTATCACATTATATATGTTGCATTTCCATTGTATTTGATATAAATTGTCTAAGTCACCTTCCTCCAGGCACCAGCCCCATCCTACCCTCATACTCAGATTCACTTTGCTACACATGATATGCATCGCTCCAGATGTGATGCTGTTTAATAGAAGGATTAGAGTTGCATTCCCATTTCGTGATGCTTAAAAAGGATAGTTTCTCTCTCAGCGTTATAAACGGGGAAGGGAGACTGGGCTCTGTTGAACCGCGAGTCCGGAGGAGAGCTCCACAGATAACCATAGGTATTTGTGATCTTATTAATGCAGTTGTGTGCTGTTTCCAACTTCAAAGTGTGGAATGGTCAAGCTGGACAAGCAATATGTAAGCTTACCAGAAAATGCCCTCAATGACAAATAATATAGTTTTAGCTGTTTGAACTCAAGCTGCGTCTCAAATGATAATATGGTGCCCCAAGGTGGGCAATATTCAATCTACCTCCAATACTTTGCAGAATACAGCAAGCGGTGATTTGGGAGAGAGGGATCGTTCCACTACTATCCCAGGAAAATTGACATAAGAACAATAATGCTTGCATTTCATTTCGCGCGTTATCACATGTTCAAGACATCTCAATGGCATTTTTCATAGAAAATCATGGATTTATTACATCTGATCATTTTTAAAGAGGCTCAGAAGTGACTGTGATTTCCAATTCTTGCCCCCAACCTCCTGCAAACAACCACAAGCACTGAATACTCAAATTGGGGTTTGACCTGTCACTCTTTGAAGGAAAGATTACGGTAGATTTTGTGAGCGAGTGGGTAGAAGTGTTGCTTCCTTTCACATATTTTGATAATAATTACACAATGGATAACTAGCGAAACAGACAAAATATTCGGTAGAGGCTCTCACACTCTTTTCTATAATTTTTCTTCAATTGTTAACTAAATCTTTAATTTCCAATTTAATTTTAGATAATACCAGACCCTGATGTTCTCTTTTTGTCTGTCTGCCGCGTTTTGCCCACAGCTATACAGTCGGTTCACTTTTTCAGTGTATCACATGAAGCATCTTCCGACATCTTGTCCATGTGATAAGGCGATATATCAGATGCAAGAATTATTCTTTATATTGGGCGCCAATGTTCTCTACTTGTCTTGGAAAGAGGCAGATCAATATGTTTGTAATCAACAAAACACAAAATGCAGCCGATGTTGGAAATCTGAAGCAAAAGCATAGGTCGCTGGGATCACTCCACAGATAGGGCAGCATCTGTGGAGAAAGGAAAGTTTAATGTTTAAACAAACCAAAATAAATTGCAGTGCCTATGCCTGCATTATATGCTGCGAAGTACTTTGTGACATATCAACATGTGACAGGATGCTATTATATGCAAGAGTTATCTCTTCTTATAATACTGGACATTTTGTAATAAAATATTAACAATTGTAAATTAGTATTTCCTTCCAGGAAACAGATGTGATGGCATCAACACAAAAACTGAATAGCGCTGTTCTTGACATCCTCCTTACAACTGGGATGTGATGTTATATGGATCAGGAAATGTGCATGCAGATTTATGGAACTCAAATTGCTGAAGGAAACCCGGTGCTCAAGAGCAGGTTCACACCATCAATGCCTGCATTGAAGTCTGCGCATGTGCCGATCCAGTGCCACATTTGTGACACATCAAGTAAAAAGACTTGCCATGAGCAGAAACATAGAGCAACCTTCATTTTACAAATAATTACAGTATTCCTACAATACATGTACAATAGTATTATAAAATAATTGTATAATAATACATTGGATTTAGTTACTTTCATATCAGGGCGACGTTTTGTGATGCTTCACTGGATTTAATGTATACATTTTCTTGGCAAATGTGGCAGCCAACTTAAGCACAGCAAATACTAAAAACAGCCATGGAATAAAGGAAATTTCTCCGAGGTGAATACCTAGCCAAGAACCCAGGACACGTTGTCTTCTTTTTTGCAGAGTGACAAATATTGTTAAACATCCACCATGAACAGGAAAAAGGTATGGTACCTCCAACCATGCAGCAGATCCACATTATTGGATTGCAGTGTCACCAAAAATAACATCAATTGAAAGGCCTAATCTGGAACTCAAAATCTATTGCATTAGAGATCAGAATGCTACCACGTGTGGCAATGCTGAGACATTTGAGAATCTACCTAAAAAAGAGCTGGAGACCTGCCCAGTCCATTCTCCAATTTAGGATTGATTATTTAGGGATCAGTTCCAACTTTCCACAGATTCTCAAGACATAGGCTCATGCTGGCACCTCCGCGCCATCACATCGGCACCTTAGGCAGTGGGAGCATCAGCATCCAAAAATGCACAGATAGCTCACCAAGCCAGTAAGGAATCTAAACATCTTTGTCACCCCTCAACCATCTTTTCTATCCCAAAGGCATGCCATGACCCGCTCTGCATTCCCCACCTCCTCAATAATACAGGACTCAGCCATTGTCTCACCCCTCAGGCTGCTGAAATGCTCATTTATGCTGCCATTACAACCAGGCTCAACTTTGCCTCCCTCATCTCAGCAGGCTACAGCCTGCTCCATGTCCCCTGCTTGTCCAGCCCGAACATCAATAGTCGGGCCTACAGCTTGTCTGCCTGCACAATCTAGAACTCCATCCCACATTACTTTCACCTCGATCACTCCCAAGCCAAAATAAAGGCAAAGCTTCAAAACCCTCCACTTGATTAGGCCTTTTGACACACTCCTACCCTCTCTGTCTTGTCTGATTCCCTCGCTACCCACCCACACACAAATTCGGGTCCTAATCACTGATTGTCCTGTGCCCTGGTATGTCCTTCTGACATGAAGGGTGCTTTATAAATGTAATTTTCTATTGTATAGAAATCAGTAATTGTCACAGAAGGATCCAATTTCGCCCATCCTCTCTGTCTCTCTTCTATTTCTGTTCTTTTTTTAAATTAGATTCTTTTTAAAATTAATCCATAGGCTCCAGCTGTTTCTCTATATTCATCAATGCTTTCATTTCCCTCTTCAGTGATTCAACCGCAATGTCAACTTGTAGTTCTGAATTGAACATTTTAATAACGTTTGTGTAAGCAAAAGTACAATAACCTTATTTGGTGCAACCATGCTGAGACCTCACCTCTCCATTTATTTTGGTTACTTGGGTGCCTCAAACATGCAGAAAACTATCTGAATGCTAAAGTACATCCAAACTAAACTGAGAGAACTACATATGGAATACGAGCTTCGTAAGCAAATTTCCTATGTCTGGAAGGGAGTGCGATCTCTCCAGAGTCATGTATCCTGGTTATGTAATTCCAGAAATTATGAGATGAAGCTGGCAAGAGCCAAATTGTGTTGACCAACTCTCAAAAGTCTCTCTTCTTTGAAAGTACTCACACCGACTTAAAAACAGTTATCATCAGAAGAAAACTTCATTTCACCCATCTCTGTTCTCGACCTGCTGGCACATTCCCAAGTTTAACTTTATTTCCAAGGGTCTACAATGAGACAGATTCACTCTTATGTCTCCCACCGCACCTTGTATGAAGGGACATCACCATACTTTCCTCATTGACCATATCTTCCGTCATCCATCATTTTTTTCATATGGTATCACAAGCGCAGTTTTTCGTCTTCATGAGGTTATCAGCAAGTTCCAGGAACTCCATGTGAGCCTTTGAATGACAATGTGAAGTGCTAATAGTCTTCTGCCTACAACAAGAGCACACAGCCATGTCTATATTGACACTTTGCAATGGAGAACAAAAACAACAACTTGCAATGATGTACTGCCCTTGACGCAATGCCGTGTCTTGGAATGCTTAATAGTGTGGGAGACTGATGCTGAGCAATGTATAGAGGAGTAAGGAGATACCAGGACGTGAAGTGTGTTCCAGATGAGAAAGTGCATGTTGAAATCGTTCCTTTCTGTGTTAGGCAACCAGTGGAGCCTGGCGAGGACTAGTGTTATTGCGGCACTGAGGTGAGAGTGGGTGAGAATCCCGACGATGATATGCTGGATCAGATGATTTGCAGGAATGGGGTTGGTTAAAGAACAAGGGAAAGATGAAACAAATAGCAGAAATGCATTCAGGCGTTTATATCAAGAACAAAGCACTGCACTTTCAGCATGCAAGTGGTGCAATAAGTTATGCATTTGTATTTGTTTCAAATCTTTTGGGAAAAAAATAATAGAAATTTGATCTAATTGTGCTACTGCCTCAAAATACTTGCACTGCTGTCTTTAGTGCAGGAATTAAATTGTAACTTGGACATGATCATTCGCTGCAAAACAGTTTCACTTCATAATCATAATAATAATAATCCTTGCATTTGATATAGCGCTTTTCACGTCGGGAGGACGTCCCAAAGCGCTTCACAGAACACGCTGTAAAGTGAATTGACTGTATATTTGTGGGCGAACGCGGCAGCCAATTGTGCACAGCAATGTCCCATAAACAGTCGTAGATTGAAAATGACCAATTTTTATTATTGTTTTTTTTTTTTGG